GTCACACATACAGGTCTAAATGGCTTGTTTCAATACCTGAAGGTATTGTCTTGCTAAAAATTCAAGGATGGAATCAGATGCTCTGGTATGAAAATGCTGAATAGATCTAAAGAGCTAACATTACTTATACATAGAAACAACACAGTGTGTATGTGATGTACTACATGCTTAGAAACAGTTACAACCTTATGCACATGTTCATTGTTAAAGCATGCATGGATTTTTTCTGAAGTCATATCTGTCTTATGGTAAACATATTTAGCATCAGCTGATATTTAAACCCAAGCAATGCTCCAACACTGTTACACAGCTGAGACAGAGACATAATCTTTCTTTTTTTCCACCCATGGTTAGGTATTGTCACCATATTTACTTCTAGGCAGCTCTGCTGGGTTACTGACATAAGTACTAGGAAGCATTTGCCTTTCCACAGCTACTTTACTGTGAGCAAAGCAACAAGCTCTGAGCATTTCATTAGAGTGGATAGTTGTAAGGAGTGCTACACGGCGCTTGGATTTCCACGGCCTCTAAAAATGAACTGTTGGTGGTCCAGCAGCAGGTGACAGGCACTCGGCCAGTTTTAAGTAAAGAACGCTCATCTTCCAGCTACTTTTGGCAGGTTGAGTGGCAGTTACGTGTGGCTTCATTACCTCCTCCTCCCACCTCTGATACATAAGTGAGCTGAAATCTTTTGAGACGGTTTTGAATGGAGACGAGGTGTTTCTTATTTGTCAAGAGAGTTGTTCTGCTGCTGTTACTAATACTGCGGGCATTGCTTAGAATATGTTTCAGTGGTATACACCGTCAATAGGTGAAATAACATGCAGTTGCTGTATGACCATTGACGAAGGTGGCTGGTGTAGAGAAATTTTCCATCATCACATAGGTTTAGATGGCATACCAGAAAATGGCAGGTGCGTTCATTACCCTTAGCAGTGCATCATTACACTAGAAAATAAAATATTTTCTACCACACAAAGATTGGTGTGAATTTCATCCAAACAAGTGCTTTTTTGTCAAATACAAAAATGTTGGGAAGAATCAAAGCTGAAGCTGTGAACATGCAGACAAGCTCTTTATTGCAGATTTAACCTTAGTCTCAGGCAAGAGGGAAGACTCAATGAGTCTAATTTTGGTGTTTATACAGATGATAATCACTACTTGTATTTCAACCAGCCTTCCCGTAAAAGTAACAATGATAATAGTGAAGATTCTAGTAGTTTTTGTGGGATTTTACCTCTTCTATTGTGCTATGTGATTCACCTGCTTCTTATGTTTGTCCCCACAGAGACTGGGGCCCTTCGTAGTATGTTTATGAATATAGTAGTGAAATTTGGCCATGTTAGTTTGTGGGAACATAAATGTACTTGGGTTCAAGAAGCAGGTTTGTTACTGATTTGAATTTTTGTTTTCAGCAACCATATAGGGCTTTTTAATATAAATAATTTTAAAATTTTTTTAAAAAGTACTTCATTTGTATTTGTTCTCAAAGACAAACAGAAAAAGCACAGAATTGACCAAAAATAGGAAGCGTGTTCAAATGGGTGAAATGGATTATTTAGTCATATCCCTGTCTTCCTTTTTACATTTCTTCACAACATTTAAAAAAAAAAAAAAACAGATAAAAAGCAGAAGTTAAAGCTGTCCTAATGCCGCAGAAAGTTACATGCTTCCTGCTGCTTGCAGAACCTCCAGATTTTTACCTTAGTGTAGCTCCATTACTTTAACACCAGTGTAGATAAATCGGTGTCTGTATTGCACAGGGAGAGAAGGGCAAAGTTGAAATGGTACTAAAAGGATTTTGTTCTCAAATTGCTGGTGAATGCAAACATCCCCTGGTAAAGATTTTTCAGAATACTTCTTAGCACTAAAAAAAAAAAAAACAAAACCCAAACCCCCCCCCCCCCCCCCCAAAAAAAAAAAAAAAACCCCAAGCAAACAAAAAACCCAAAACGTTTGAGAGCCAATTTGCACAAAGCTATTTGCTTTCAAGAGTAGAATGGGCAGAGCTAGTGGGCAGCACCCATGCTTTCTGGCTTTATGGTCTGTTTCCCTCTCCGCTTCCCAGGGCCTCTAAACCACTCTAGGTCTTCATCATCAGGTCTTTAGGTGAAAAAAAAAAAAATATATATATATATAGGGAGTAGCAAAAATTGACCAAAATATCACTTTAATACAGATAAAAATCCTGACCAACAAACCCAAATACCTCTTTTACCTAGAAACACAATATTTAGCTTATATGCATTTTGTTAACATATGCTGCTTGCTGATGCTGGACACCAGCTAGTAAATGTAAGTCTCTAATAGATCTGGTGGTTGAGGAAAGTAGAAAAATACGAGTAGGTGCTGTCCTAAACTCAGTTTTTTCTACTACCACTTATTTCCTGCACCCTCAATGCAAAAGATGGATGATTTTTGTGTAGCAGTTTTGTGCTTCAGTAGTCTTGTGCTTCTCTGGCAGCAAAAGCTGACAAACCAAGTCCTTACCTTTGCATATAGGGAAGAATCTGAGCGGAAAGTGAAAGCAGAAACCTCAGCTGCTGGGACAGGCTTTGATGGATGTGAAGAGTCACAGCGAAGTAGACCAGCAAGAAAAATCCAGACCACAATCAGGTCACAAGGCATACTTATTTAGTTGAGTCTCACAGAGACTGCAATGCTGGCTTTTTTTCTTTGCCTCTCCAATACACTTCACAGAAATAGAATTTCATTGCCCCATGCTTCCAGGCCACGCAGACCATTTCTTAGCCCTCCTCAAGAAAAGAAAACACAGTGTTCCCTTACAGCTGTTATACGCACGAGGAGGCCATTAACTGCCTTTTTCAAAACCTCTTGATTTCAGAAGGTTGCAGAAAATGCTACCCTTTGATGATAACCTCTGTTTCATACTAGTGGTGAATTTTATAAGTGAACTTCATTTGTTTCCTTCCTGAGTAGGTCTAGGTATTGGGGTTTCATACCTAACTCTAGCCACAAAAGGGATTTATCAGCTGGTGACTGAGACAGTTTTCTCTGCAGGTAATAGTACCCTGTATTCTGCCTAGTGGAAACAAGTAGAGGCAAGGGATTAGAGTAGGGGTTGCAGACAATAGCCCGGCAGTTAAAACTGGCACATTAATATTGTGGTGAACAAGGCTTAGCTCTATCAATTCCAGGATTTGTGTTTTTTCCTACTGTGGCTTTGTACAATCTCGGTTTTCAGGCCAACAAATGGTGTCCTGCTCTGCAATACGTGTCAGTAATGATGAGGTAGAGCTTTACAAAACTATGGTCATTAAAATAGATTGTCTTCAGTCCTCCTGGTCCCACCAGGCTGGGTCACAATCCCCTAAGTGAAAGTGCATTTTAAGTAGAAGATCTCTTTCAGATGCGGCTAAATAGTGTGCCAGCAGCGTACAGTAGGAAAAGCACAGAAATGGTCCTGTCTGTAGGTCCAAAAACAGGCCTAATGACTGTGCTGTGCACTGGTGTCTCACCACAGCCATTCTGACGGCAGAAAATTCATGTGGCAATTAAATAATGTGGGGTTCTTTTTATAATTGAGTGAAATAATAGTTACTTTGGGCTTATTTCAGAGGAAATTATTGCCAGTCCCATTGTGATTGTACTAATATAGCAGAACTGTAATCCACATGTGAATCTTTTTATCCCAAAATAAATGGATTTTGTTTTTAATCAAGTATGCAATTAGTTTAAAATAAACTGCAAAGAAATTATAGAGATGAAGGTAAAACAGAGTCACCCTTATACATACTGGAATAAGAACATAGTATTACTTCAAACTCACACTCCATTGCTTTTCTCCATTGCAAAATTACAACTGCATAAGGTAAAGAACTCCCAAATTTGTAGTGTTCCAGCATACTGACCCTTCAGTCCAGCAGCTGCACGGCTCATATGTGCAAGGCAAGGAGGATGTACGGCTCAATTTGAACAAATCATATTATAACCTTATACTCTGCACATTCACCTGCTAAGCACACTGGAGATAGAAGACTAAACTATGTCAAGAACAACTGAAAAGTACTAAAATCTTGTAAAGCCTTGATTACCACCCATTTCATGGATTTCAAGACTGAAAATAAATATTTATACATTTACTTACTGAAAAATTGAGGTGGTAGGGAACAGAGCAACCCATCCTGTAGGAACTATGTAGCCACTGAACAGAAACTATCGAGGCAATAAAGTCTAATACAGATCTGGAATGCCTGGTAATTCTCGGTTTCTTGTTTGCCAGATAATTTGATGACAATATGCTGCACTTTCCCAAAGAGCATCACAGAACCACGTTCAGCTCTCCGACAATCCCTGCTGCAACATTAGCAAAGAGTAGATCAAACTAAAATGAGCATTTATGGACAGCTGCTTTTGGTCTTACAAATGCGAGAGAGACTGTTATTTTTATCTGGTGGCAGAAGATCCCAGTATCTTCAAACACACACCCCAAAATGTTCAGCCTAACAAAGTTGAGAGGAGGTGGGAAAAGGAAATGGGGCTCTTATCAAGCCTGAAACACCTATATATAGTTATGCATGTATAAAAATACTTCCTATATATATGTAACTAAACTTTGAGCAACTGCTCTCAACTTGCATCTAACTCTGAAACCTGTTTCTGTATTAGAGTTGAAGGGCATATGCATGCCCAAGTCTTGCCTGTTTTCCTAACTATCAGTTTGTCTATGTAACAAGGCAATTTTTATAAAGAGGTAGCATACACAATTCAGTTGATGCAGTAAAGAGAATTAAGAAACCTCGAGTGGGCAGAATAAGTTTCTGATGAAAAGATGTATTTTAAAACCACTGGTCAATTATTAGCGAAGGTGCTGGAGCAGCAGTGCTCTTCTCAAAGTAACCTTTGGCTGATGGACCTGTCCCCTTTGACACTGAAGCCACCTCTTCTTCCAGCCAATCCCCTGAGCTCTGGGGATGGAGTCACATGCAGTTTGCTCACATAAAGACCGCTCTGCAAACTCTAACATCTCTGTCAAAAGTTTCATAACTGGTGGACGATGGAGCTTCTTGTAAATGTAGGAAAATGGATAGAAGAAAACAGAACTGCCTTTTTGCCACCTGTGTGCAATAAGCTTATGTAAGTAAATGATTTTTTTTTTTACACAGTTCTTAGATATATAAATATTCTTAGCTATAAGAGGAAGCTGCTAAAATGCATACATGGTAAAGATGAGTCAGGAACTGTAGTTCCTCTCAGACTGCAGTCAGTCAGAGTGCTGTTTCAAAGAACAGAAAGTGATTGAAATCTGTTTTGCAGTAACACCGTAAAAGCTATAAAGATCCACTTGAATACACGATATTTGCCTCAGCTTAAAGGCTCTTGTAGGCATTAGACTGAGTTAAGGGAATTTGTGTCAGGCCCTGTGACAATAAACTCATAGAAGTCAGAGGAGATGGCATCACCTCCACAAATGATGAGATTTAGCTAACAGATTAGTGCTGCCGAATTACAACCTGAAACAGCTGCTAGAGCTGCTGAGAGTCATTCCAACATTGCAGTGGAACCTAAGCTGCAGCAGCAGTCAACACTGATGGGAGAAGTTATCTCACTGAGAAAGAAGGAGAAGGGAAGGGCATGGGCACTGGAGGAGCAGGTTTCCAGAGCATTTCCAGAGCTGTCAAGGCAGGAGGGGACCCTCTTCAGTAGGAGGCTGAAGAGGCAGTGTTTTAGAGCACTGACTGGCACCATAGAGCTACAAACCATATTCTGAATTAGACAGGTAATATAAGAAAAAAGTGTGGGCGTTATGCATAGTTGTACAGCAATGTAGAATATTCATGGTTTTCTTTCTTCATCAGTAAGATGAACCTTTTTGTCATTACTGCACTGTTCTGCACCCTGCACTAGCAGTTCTGTGCAATCCTGAAGTTAGCTCTGGAATGCGACATCTATCAGAGGTCAGACAGATCACCACATACTCAGTGTTGACAAAGAACATTTCTTGTGATGAAAAAATGCATAGATTTAAAAAAAAATAATTTTTTCCAACGTAGCTTCAGCCTGCGAAGAAGGAGAGGAAAGCCATCTACTATATGGATTCTTGGTTGCTCACCACCTGCTCCTGGTGCTATCTAAATGTTTACAGGATTTTCCAAAAACACTTTAGGTGATTTTCCAGGAAGTGACTAATAGATTTCCAACATTTTTCCAAAGGCCTTGATCCTTTATGTGCTAAGTAGAAATGTATAAGGCAATCTTCTCACTGCCTTCTACATAATTGGAAGGCAACCACCTCAAAACATTTAAGTAACTTATGATCTGGTGTTTCAAGAGAGAATTAATGGTTAAAAGCTAGGTCTTACAGCAAATCAGTATGACTTTTGGTGTATAAATTTATTATGGCTTTCAAGCTTTAATTTAGTTGTGTTCCATACACTTGAGAGGATCAAAAGTTTTAAATACCTGTTTGGGATTTCAAAACAAAACCTCAGTTCCTGAATCTCCACCTGTTTAAAGGATACAATGTAAGAGCAGCAGTTTGATTAGATGTCTTTTAATGACACTATCTTACAAATTTAAATGCTTTTTAACTTCAACAATGAGCCATTAGTGCAAAATCAGAACCCTTGACATACCTGATTTTTACAGGGCAGCTATGGCACTTTTAAAGCTCTTTTCTGAATTCAGAATATGATACTTACCATAAGGAGACCTAACTGTGGTCATGGACTATCTGATTCTTCATAGTCTTGAGACTTTTTAAAAAGCTGCCTGCTGATACCATTTTATTCATGTGATTAAGAAGCAATCAAGTAATTTTCACACTCCTGAAACCTTCGTGATACTCTAATTGCAAGTCTTAACTATTAACTGCTTTCCTTCCTCATGGTTTTTCTTCTTAACTTAATGCAACTATATGAACCAGACAAATTTATTTACCCTATGGACAAACCTAATGAAGTTCCTGTTTGTATTTGATAGCTGGAATTTTTTGATTGTGTTATTATACAGTTGTTAACAACAGGAATGGTTATCCCATGGTTGCCTGTTTATTATGTAAGACCCAGCTAAATCCATGGGGTAACAGAATTAATGGTAGATTTGCCAAACAAAAAGTTAAGCAACAATGATTTTTAGAGCAATATTTTCACTGTTAGTTATTGAAACAATAACAAAACTGTATCGGTTTCTGTAAAAATTAACTCATCTTAAAAGTAGGCTACAAGATACCCATAGATTGTCTTTCTGTTATTTTATTCTCCAGGGTTGATTTTAATGTATTTCATTAATTATTAGCTGTGTTGTTACTGTTTTGGTCTTCCTGCCCTTCCTTAGAAGAAGGGAACATTAATGTAAGAAGTATTACAGTGCATTCTTAAAAATGAATATTAAATCTGTGTAGTTGTCCCGATACAAAGTCAGGGAGGTTTTGATACGATCTCAGGAGTGAGATTAAGACCAAACGAGGTCAGATACCGTACACCAGAACCAACTTTATTAACAATAAAATGTAAGAGCGATAGGAAAGAGAGGAATACACCATAGAAATTAAGCAAGAAGTCAGGACAGAGAAGCAAGAAACAGTTACCACCCAAGTTCCCGCTACGCTCCGACTATCCACAGGCCTTGAATGGTGAACACACATCTTCGCGCACACACCTCCGCTCACGTGGCTCCCCACACACCACAAAACACACCCTCAACACAACACACACCCCCACAAAACACACGCCGTTTGGGGGCACTTTCCTGCGGGCTTTTATAGCCGGTCCAGATAAAGTCCATTGGGCCGAGGGTTTCCATGGCAGCGGCACGTCCTACACATCCTACACGTCCCACACCCCCTTTCAAGCATGCCCATGGGGTACAGGCGCTTGCTGCATGCTCCCTCGTGGTGCACTGCCCATGTCCCAGTACGTGGGGTCAGCCTTCACACCACACCAGGCTGGCTTCACCACATAATGTCAGGGGTGGGCACAGTTCCGTTTCCAAGCAGTCTTTGAGATAAAAGTCCCACAGTTCAGTCTCTCACAGTGGTACAGCAGTTCTGATTTTTGTTCCCAATTTTAAGACACGGGCATGAAGCCAAGTGCTATAATATATACAGCTTCCTATGATTAAAATAATGCATTTAAGAATTGTAATCTAATTTAATTTGTTAGACTTTTATTTGACCAAGGAATTTGTCACTGTTACTTGTTATTTTGGCTTTATTAATGTCTACTGTCTTGTTCATTATGATTTAAATACTTTTCAAGGTAAACATGATAATAATAGCAGATCAAATGTATGTGTTCAGCAGTTCAGAACAGCTCCTCTCAATTAAGGCTTACGAGGTGCTGACACAGAGGCATGTAATTCTTCGCTGTGCTGCAGGGTTCTGTGTTACTATGATCTCCTATTAGCCCAGGTATTGCCCAGAATCTCCTTACTGAAATGTAGAGGTCAACACCTCCAGTTCACATGTCAAAAAGAGCTTGAGGACAAATTTTAATCACAGCTAACAGATCTGATTTACAGAGGTTTTTTTAGCAAATGAAAACCTGCTAACTTATCTTTTTTTAATAGTGTAAGTGAACTGATAGATAATTGGGATGGTACCTATTCTTTGTGCCAGCCGAGAGAAATACTCATTAAGGCTTTTAAAAGGGGCAGAGTTAAGATACAGGGCCCAAATCTCCTTTTCAGAATCAACCACAATGACAATGAAACCATTGTAATGTTGTTCCACCTTAGCAATAGCAGTATAAATAGAAGTGAAATTAGCTGATAATTTCTACCGTCAGTATCTCTAGTAATTCTGCCAATGGGAAAAGTATGTTTTTACCTTTATTAACCTTTACAGAATCCTGATCTCATCAGTTTACATTAAAAAAGACATTTTCCTGTTGTTCCTGTCTCGTCTCTTACATAGCAATCTTTATCTTTACAGTTCAAAGCTCTTTCCCCAGTTGGTAGCTATTGTCCCCTTTTCATAGCTGGAAGCACTGAAACACCAGGAGGGAGGTAGCTGGCCTTCAGGTCACCCAGCAGGACAGTGGCAAGGTAGAGACATGCGTCCAAGATCTTTTCAGTTCTCATTCTGGATGTTGCTTGTCACTCAGCATTGTTTCATTGACTTACTGTCCTCAAAGAATAATTAAAAAAAACCCACCTTATATGAAATAACATGATGAGTGGAGGTAGCTTTAAAATGTCACTTTCTTTTCTAGGCATCGCCATCAGTTAAATGTGATGTTTGTTGGAGGACCAAATGAAAGGAAGGACTATCATATTGAAGAAGGAGAAGAGGTAAACTATAGGCTGTTTATATTTTGATGGTTTAATTGATCTATAATGTTTAAAATGGAGCTACTTTTGAAGCTACAGCTACAGATTAGCAATGCCAGGCTCAGTGATGTTGCATTTATTAGATCTATCCAAAGACTTAAACAGAATCATTCACCAAAACCATACACCATCTGTGCATTTCCTTTGAAACAAGCTCATGAGATCAGATCTATTTTGTTATAATTAATTTCCAACAGGAAACTAGAGAAAGCATTCTAACACATCAAAATGTCTCATTTCAACATTTCAGAAGAAAACTTTGGAAAGGTAATGATATTTTTAACGTGCTATTTTGTTGCAGAAAATCAATCTGTAATTCAAAAGATTTTTGAAATTCAAAAATAAAAAATATTTCAATTGGATTGAAATTACATTTTTCTGTGCTTTGTGAAAAATATCAGCATTTGCAGCTTTCATTTATGTTTGGAAGGTTAAAGAACAGAGTCTCTAAATATTTTTCAAATCAGTGCCCTGCTCTGCACATCTTCTGTATCAAAATAAAGCCCTCCCACTGCTTTTAGTTGTGAGTAGCTATTGTGCCAAATGCAGAACATAGGAAGAAAGAGTAGAAATCCATCAAAATTGTAACAATTTACATCTGCTTTGTTTACTGCATTTTTCATGGAATTCTCTGCTTGGCCTGAGGACTGCTCTGAGACAGAGGTATCACAGCTGGCTCTGAAGGAACCCTAAGGGAAAGGGGACACTAGAGGCCTGGCAGTAAGGATTTCAGGATAGGAGACAATTTGCCCTGCTTCCCAGCAGAGTAATTTAATTTCATGTAATTCCAATAAAATTTGGCCACCTAATTTTAAGTCCCTTTAGAAACCCAAGCCTAAACATCTACATAGTTCAAGGCAGAAGTGAGTCAAGTTCAATAAATCCTTTCAAAAATAAACAAAAATCTGTTTGCTTATCATGGAATCATTTCTCAAAAAACCAACCCAACCATTTCACAACAGCCTTCATTAATTTTCCGCTATGGATGTGCTGTACAGGTGTTTACAGTCATTATAACTGCACATCTCTGAAAGAGCAGTTGCTACCCTATCACTGCCAGACTCCTGCCTGCTTTGCATTGCCACCACGGTCTCACAGCCCACCCGTGGCTGTGGGCACAGGCATGGCCAGTCACGTCCCAGGTTACCCAGCACACTCAATTACGTCCCTTCTCATCGGTTGTGCAGGAGGAGCTCTGGCAACACCAGAGACCATGCCAGCAAGTTGCTTGGGCTGGGAAGGAGGCAAGCCAGGTCTCAGGGCAATACGTGTGCAGTGATTGTTGCTAACCAGAATAATTTAGCATCCATCATATATTTAGAAGGAAATTCCAGAGATACTTAGCTAGGGAAAACAAAATGTGGTTTTGCAACGTGATTATGTCCCTGGGAAAGGAGTAATCACGGCTGTAGTGTGACTGCTCAGACAGCACTGAGAAGAATATAAAATCTCTACACTGCTGTATGGCATATTAAGTATTGTATGTGAGATTAACAGTGAGTGAATTTTGTTATCAAGGTCAATAGCATTAAAGTTTGGCAAAGCATTAAATGAAGGTATGTGAAGGTACATATGGAAGTTAATGATTCCAAATAATTTTTTCAGTAACTTAAATCTTTTTAGTTTTACACAATTTTTCTTGCTCCGAATAATATGTTAAAGCTCTAAACAAAGAGCAAACACACAAAAAACAAGATGAAGATTAACTGGTACAATAGCCTGCACTACAATACTAAATATATTGGTTTGGTTTTCTTTTCTTTATGGTCTTGTCCCTGCCTGCCTCTCCCCATTCATACTGGATTATCCTTGGTCCCTGATCCATCCCTGTCCTGTTTCATTTTTGAAATTTGTCTGTTCCTCTCTTCACTTAAAATAAAAGTCAGATTAATATAATTTCCTTTGTCTTTTGTCTCTCTGCAAGATATTCATGTGTTTGAAAGGAATTTGGCCTACATTTAATAAGCCTAAACCCATTATATGACTTTCCAACAGTGTAAAACGTTAGCCATATCTGTAAAGGTGTAATTGGTATCAGTATGCAACAGTATAGTAAATTATTGCTAATTCAACTGGATATAACATTTTTTTAGGTATCAATACATCCTCATTCACATAGCAAATTTTTCACATTTACTCTGCAACCAAAAATAGAAACAAAAATCCTATCAAATAAAAAAAAATCGTCAATATATGCATCAGAAACATTACCAGTTAGTTATCAGTTAAACGTATGGGCCAATTTTGTCCACTTCTACAGAGGTACAATATAGTCATACATTGCATTTTGCCATAGCTTTTTACCAGCCACATTTGCACCTTCCTGTGATCTAATTAAGCCTTTAGATCCATGGTGTTCATTAGAGAAGAACTGTCAGACAGACAGTATCCTAGTAAAAGGGCATATTCCTAAATTAGACTTGGGATTATAAAAAAACCTTTCAAAACTGTGTTCAGCTCATTATTTTGGTAGGCAAAAGGTCATTTATAGTTCTGAGTGATAATCTGAAAGACAAACTATATAGGCATACTGTTAACAGGCCAACTCATGAACGCGAAAACCTCCAAATCCTTTATGCAAATTTAGTTGATGCTATTCTACCAGTATTATTCCAAGAGCAAAGAAGAAAGTTAAATTTAGGATTATTTATGTCTGTTCGCTCATTATTTTATGCCTGTTATCACAGTGTGTCCTGTGGCACAGCTTGCGCTTGTCAGCCTGAAGTTCCCAGCAGCAAGGGGTTCACACGCAGAGATGAGGGCTTAGGAGCATCCTCCTGCTCTCAGGCTGTTCTCTGGGGGCGCCGTTAATGTGCAGGTGTGTCGGGAGGATTAGTTGTAACTGTCTAATTATGAGAAAAACTGAAAGCTTGATTTGGACTCTCTTCAAAGCCTTTTAGGATTGTCCCTTGAACATTTGTTTAGGCTAAAATGGCTGCTAGTCTCACACAATTTGTTTCCTCCTCTCAGCCAGCAGGAGTTTCCCAAATATGTAACTCGACATTTTCTTCGTCCTTAGTTTTCTCTCTACTGCTTCACTTCCTTTTAATTTTTCTGCACACTACTTATGTGCCATCCTTCTGTACAGAAGTACTACTTCATACCTGAGACATTGTTTTCCTTTGGACAGATTTTATAAGGAGCCAAATCAAGCTGCACCTTACCAGAGATAGGCCATTCTTTGGCTTGAATTTGTCACTGTATCATATGAATTGTTTTTCCTATTTGTAAATGTTAAGTTCTCCCTTGCTCCCTTCTCCATCACAGAGACAGAGTCAACAAACACCTACTCAGATGTTCTCTGCCTCTAAATCAGACCCATTCTCAAAAAGAAACTGAGTTGCTTTGAGGAATGCATCTTCTCTTGAAACATGGCAAAAAACCTGCTGTGAGAAAGCACCTATACAGCTATACAGACAAAACTTTAATATGTACTAAAAATAACGTATTTGTGCTATATAGCTAGTTTCGTGAGGTTTTCATTTGAATCATTATTCCAATGTACCTCACTTGTCAAGAGAGATTTGGATTACGTGGACTAGTGACTACAATTCTTGTGTAGTCAACTTGATGAGACCACTGGAAGCTTCTGTGGCAGCCCTGACATGATGCTCAGCCCCTCACAGCTACCGGATAGCAGGTACATTCCAGGTACCAGGCAACGGTCCCTGACATACCTTTGTCTCTTGAACTTTTCATCATAGACATCTCACAGACTTTGTGGTGTATTTACTGCGTTTTTGCTTACTTGAAAAGCCTGTGGCTGGGGAATTTCTAATCTTCTCTTATAAATTCACCATATAACTTCCAAAAATATAAGGCAAGTGAAAACTGAAGGGGACTGTATATTTCTGGAGGAAGTTAATGACAGATAAAAACCATGATCATTACAAAGCTTATCTATAGTAAAAGAATTTCAGTTTTGGTGGGTTTTTTGGGGGTTTTGTTTGTTTGTTTTTGTTTTGTTTTTCTTTTTTTCTTTTTTACTGCATTGTGTGGGCTGCTTTGGGTGAAATTGAGATATTCTAACAGCTAAATCTAGGATCACAAAAATAGTTAGGCTCCTGTCTCTTTACCCACTTCTGTCCACCACTTAAATACGATGAATCTCAACTGGCTGACTTTGATTTCTTAACAATTTAAATTCTGATGTAAACAGTGCAGTTCCATGCAGAGAAATTAAAATCAACCTTTCATCTACTACCTGAAACAGATCTGCATTGGCACAATATTCTGCTTGGTTTTAAAAGCCCTGCTTCTCATTGTGCCATGTGTATTTTACCCTAAGTTTCTGCACTCAGCATCTAGGTTGTTTCCCATGGATAGAGCCACCAACGTACTGATGCAGACCCACAGATCAGAGCCCTTATGCTGCAGTCTTAAAGAGGACTCTCACAACAGAAATTCCCTCTCCTTTGATCATCTTGGCCAATCTCCTCAGCTTCTAGCATATTTACACAGTCTTGTTAAGGTATAGTATATGAAGCATGATAGAGATTTGAGGTGACATCTGCCACAGCTCATCTGAGTTTTCTTACCCAAGTTTTGATTTCTCTTTTTCTTCCCCTCACTCACACAGCACAGGTAAGATCTGGCTCCACTTTCTGACAAATTACCTGCTTAAATGAAACCTGACCCCTTCTTCTAGCATATGCTGCTCTCTAGTCAGCATGCTTTTGAGAAACTTCCTTAGCAGCTCAGTTCTCCCTCTGTGTTGTGTGGGGATACTGGATGCCTAAGAGGGAGGGGAAAGAGGGACTAGATGAGCATTCCATTTGGTAGTTTTGTGGTGTTTATCTCCCAAATAAAACTGAGAACATGAGCTGCAGCAAAGCAAGAGAAACTTTTTTGCTTCTTTACATTTAAAAATCTCCACATTTATCTGGTGAAAACTGTTTGAAGATTTTAATAAGAAACAAAGCTGAAGATCCTTTTGTGTCAGAAAGAGATAGTGTCTTCAGAAATAAGTCTGCTGCATAAAATTGTTGGCATGAGTTTTAGTGAGAACTCAGGTTTCATAGATGACATGTAAATGAGGAAAAAAACCCCAACAAACCCCACAACATAGTTGTGTCTACCTTCCTCATCTGTTTGTCTTCCAGACTTTTGATGGCTGAAAAATCTTTTTGATGAGAGAGGGAGAAAATTGTTGTTCTGTGCCCAAATAGATCAGTCACCACTGAAGTCTGGAGAACACACAGGCTCTACTCCCACATCAGAATTTGATTTGCTCTACAAATTAATTTAGCATTTAGCAATCTGGCAAGAAATACAAGCCAGGATATGCCAAGTCAGAGCCTAATCCCTGAAGTGGCCAAGCAATCCCAAACTGACTTTCAGAAGCAGTCAGTACTCAAAGTACATTGCAAATTTCAGATATCTTTAGAGGTCTGTGGATAAGCTCTCAGCTACAAAAGCCCTCACAGACCTCTGAGCTCCCACACCTAGGCAGAGCTTTGTATCAAAGGTGGATCTAAATTAAATTACATACATTGCTGTACATAAAATAAACTTATTTTTAATTAGCCTATACAAACCAATTAGAAATACTGTATTCTTCCCCTACTAGATGCTTCCTTCCTTACTTTGCTAGGATGCGCATACCTGGATGAAGGAGCCATACAATTCTCACCACATTAATATGGTGGGAATGGTACTGCTCTTTTTAAGGCAGTATCTATGTTGAGATTAATTCATATCAAGACAAGCAGCATCAGCAATGCTTCCACTGAAGGGAACAGGGAACTCCCACCTCTCTGCATCTCCACAAAAGCCTGCATAATTTATTTGATGAGTCTCCACAACTGAGTGGAATACCTCTTTACAGACTTGCCAGTGATTCAGCACTGGTCATGCTGCCTTTCACTGCAGCTGGACACAATACTATCAGGTCTAAAACAAGATCAAGAAGAGCGAAGCAGACTCAGGAAGGAGGATGTAATTCTCCTACAGTAAAGAGAATTCAAGGAAAATTAAATGAGTCAATTAAATGACTCCATCTTAAGGGGCTTTCAGTTTAGTTTTCATAGGTATAACTGCAGTTTTAATGATCATATTGAGCAATGTTATGCAAAAATTTTATGCTTAGGGTAAAGAATGACTTCTAGGTGGCTCATAATTTCTAGAGGTAAGGTGAGATTTAATAAGAGGAGTTGTTTTTAGTGTAATTGTAATGAGAAGTTACCACACAGTAAGCAGGAAAGCTGAATGAAAGGCAGAAGTCTGGAAAAAATAAAGGAAGAAAAGAATGAGGTATAAAAATAATAAAAAACGCCAAATAAGCACATCTAGTAATAAGAGGGGTAAAAAGAATGGCAAATAATCTTTGTTCCTTCCTTGAGCCATATTCTTCACCCAGAAAGACAAATCCATGTCTGATTTTGACCCATTATGCAGTAGCAATGTACAGATCTAGGCTTTTCTACAAGGAGATATATATATTATATGTAATAAGAGATCTTGCCATTAATAAGATGCTAATAGAGTGAAAATCTTACACATTTCCTCAATTTTCAGCATTACTGTGGAGAATGGATACCAGATTATCCCAGTAAAAACAGCCCAGCTAGGAAAGCTTGTATTTTCAGGTGGCGTGAACTCTACTGACTTACTCTCTATCTATGCATATGTATCTGTGTATATGCATACATATACACACGCATTTATGCATACCCACACGCACACCGGTACTTCCTTACTCAGGCCTCGATTTTTCCAGGAGATACTTCAGAAAAGGTTAGATTTGCACCGAAGTCAAAGCTCAGTCAGCATTTAGTAAAAGTAACATTCCAGCAAGAAGACAGCACAATACTGTATTGCCAAACTGTCCTGTGAAATGGGCATGGACTGTAACCCACGGAGATATTAAACGGTTGACAGTTTTCTTGATAAAAGTTCCAGGTATAATATAAGCACAGCAGTAGATTTAGTAATTACTGCCACTTGTATTAATCACAGATACACCAGGTGATTTATGGATGACTGAAACAGACATTTTTCAAAAAAAGTTTTGAAGAATAGACCATAATTGACAGTAAAAAGTATTATTTAAATTCAGTCAGAAAAACACTTTTACTGACAATGCTTAGCTCACCTCATTCCTCCTTTCCCATTGCAAAACAATTCTTTTAATTCAAAATTTAGTGTTCAGAATCTTTCCTTATAACTTTCATTACCAGAAAGTTTGCTTAGCCATGTGATTCACGGTCACAAGCAGAATAAAACTCTGCCTCTGTTATCTTTTCCCTCATCTCCATGTCCTGTGCATGTGTTCAGTAACAGCTCTCTCAGTAGTCAAAGGGAAGAGAACACTCCAAAGCTCAACATTTCAAAAAGGATCTTTCAGTGTCAGCATTACCAGTGCCATATTACCAATGGCCTGTGTGATAATCCATCAGGATCTTACAGTCTTAGATGAGTCTTGTTTGAAATGGAGATCATTTCCTTACTCAAATTGCTTTATGTTATACAATGAGCAGTTAGCCTTGCCCCATGTGCTCTGTAATGAGGGCTAGTATAGCATTTTATATCTTCATTCAGTAACACCAAAGAAAATTACAGGAAAAGAACATGGGGAAATGGAGTGCAAGGAGGATAAGTACCCTGGCACTGCAGCCATCTAGGCAAGAGTTATAATTTATCCATGATGATGACCATGGCATAGGGTGAACTTTTCACTCATGTAAGAGCTCTCAGCATGAGCTCTTTTCCTGTACATCTTCAGTTCTCTCTACTGTTTCATTTCTTTCGCAGCATATTTATTCTTGTGTTCATTTCTTGAATTCTCAGTGGCATGTATTAATATTTCAAAACTGTTTTGTAAACAATCCTGATTCAAAAAAATGATTAAGCTTTTCTAGTATTTGAAAACAATTAGCTTGGGGTTTTTATATACTTCGGTGGTTTCTTCTTTCCCCTATTCATTTTCCATTTTGCTAAAATTGCAGTGAATTACTATAAATAAAATTATTTTCATTATAGTTCTAACTTTTAATCAGGTTTCAGACAACTTTTGCTACACTAGCAATTATATGAATTAATCTGTTTGGTATCTAGATACAGCAGTCAGAACGTGGAAAGCATATAGAAGCTTGTCAGAGAGTGGCAGAAAATTAAAATTGACTTTTTGAAGCATTATTGCTCTGTATTACACAAAATAAGGAAAAATGTGTGCATTATTCCAGGTCAATGAGAGGCCTGCCTACAGATCATGGCACAGTTCTGCCATGAAACACGAGACTAGGTCTGAGCACCTCAGAGCCCTCCAAAGACACTCTGAAAACAGGGCAATGGAAAGGTCACTGAAGACAGAATCATGGGTTCAGTGGTTCTGTCCTTAGACCTGCTTCGAATGTAATCCTCTTACACATACAGTAGGGAGAGGAGCAGCTGTTGCTGGGCTGTGAGGGTATCCACAGAAATAAAGCAGAACAGCTTCCAAATGGGCAATTATTCCCATATGAGAAAACTCCATTAAAAAAAAATGAAAGAAACACAAACAAAACTTGTGCATGCATATTGGGAGCTTATTTGGAAAAGTGACATTTAATCTGACTGAATGACCCTGCTACATCTGAAATAAAGCTTTATGTACAGTGTAATTAACAGATGTCCAAACCATAACGTCCCAGCCCTTCAAAGAGTAATTTCCAGGAGTAAAGACAGCATAGCGGAATCCCACTGGGGTCACAGAAGAGCTCTATAAGCAGTTAAAGACCTCTTAGATAGATTGCCAAATATGTGTAAGTTAATGGAAATAACACATACTTAGTAACATTTTCCAAAGCAATAAACGTTGGAAGTCTGTTATTTGTTGTTAGAAAAAAAAAAAAAAAAAAACACAACTGTAAATATTTGCAATTACAGATTGAATGTATTTGTACATATATCCTTTATATACAGAATATGAAGTACAGAATGTTTTGGAGTAGTCGCCTTAATGTTATTTTCCTATTCCCTCAGCTTTTTTACCAGCTTAAAGGAGATATGTGTTTGAAGATAATTGAAAATGGGAAACAAAAAGACATCGTCATCCGAGAAGGGGAGGTAAAGCAGGGTTGTTTTCTGTTATTGTTGTACGTAGGTATGTTAAATGAATATTTTATGAAGTATTTAAAAATAATTTATCCCTGCTGTGCAAGAGATAGCATCAGTTTAAAAAAAAAATCTTGAATGCAGTATAGCAAATTCCATGTAATTAACAGAAAACTACTATACGTTGTGTTCAACATTTCATGGTTTCAATAACAGATAAAAATCTCTCTGGGCATTTGGGTTACCCATTCAGATAGGAATACACTGAGAGGAGTTCTTATTCCCTTGCATGGCATGCAACCTCCCCTGTGAATTCAAGTGGATCAATCTTTTACTTACACACTGTCAGGTACATCCTGCCCACCCACCCAAACATGCCACTAAGCGAACTGCCTAGGACTTGGAAAGTTAAGAGATTGAGCTATTTTCAGCCCCCTTCTTTAGTCTTCACAGTTAGCCTTCACAACCATCACAATATGAGAAGGGTTTTAAAAGAGCAATTTATGGATAAACTGTAATCCAGCTGCACCCAATTGTTTTTTTCCTTGTAGTAGTGGACTTGCTAAAGCATAGATTGCAGTGCTCTAAATGAGAGGGTGACTAGATATTTTATTTGGTATTACTACATGTTATTAGATGTGCTACAACTGCCACTCATTATTGTCACAAGCTTGAACTGCACTCAGTCTTTGAAAGGATTATTTGACCTAGTGCAGTCAGCCTTTAAAATAGAAGACATATATTAGACCCAATAGCTTGATGTCCTTAAAAGTATTACAACGTTTTCAATGAAGGAACAGATCTACATTTTCAAACCTATAGACGGTGAGATTCTGGTAATGCACTTCACACTGGAGAAGTACGTCCAGCTGAGATCATGGCATGTACCAGAAGCATCAATCAAAATGAACACACAATATCATTAGTGGGAAGACTGACACTAGTCCTGGTGAGACACTATCATTACCCCTGATTTGCAGACAAATTTTAATGACTTGCCCAGACTTGGCTAAGGAATCTGCAGAGCTGAAGAACAGTACAGGATTACCACCCTCCTACATAGTCAGATATCTGCTAGAAAAAGGTTTATTCTCAAACTTCAGTAATAGGCTTCTCTCAACTAACTGTTGCATATTCCCTTTGTCACTTGCATAAATAAATAGCCCCTCATATTTGTTAATTATTTCTTGAGAAAATAACACTCCTCATCATGCAATCACAGGTGCTTGCTGTCTTGGAGGGATAAACGTGGATGATTAGTTTAGACATCTTCCTAAGCTGACAACAAACTTGCTTTTTATTTCCATTTCTGCTACTCAGAAATTGCACTAAATTTATAAATTGCAGATGAGTAACTGGTTAGATTTGCATTTCAATTGTGTCTAGCACTGATGATCAAACCAGGAGGAGAGCACCTGGCTGCCATAAAGGCAATGCCAATTCACTGAGAAAGCAAGAAACGGCATCTGCTGGGCTGTTAGTACCAAAGTGGGTACAGCTGCAAAGGAGCAACACAGAATCAACAAGGAGTAGGGGAAAAGTAGGGCAATGAGCAGAGGACTTTTTGGGGACAGAGGAAAGACAACACAAAGAACTGAGACTCCCTGACACAGATGCTTTCCTATTTCTTTGAACAGATGTTCCTCCTACCTGCTAGGATACCTCATTCTCCTCAGAGATACGCGGACACTGTAGGTCTTGTGATTGAGAGGAAAAGGTTAAAGACAGAAATGGATGCACTCAGGTGAAGTATAAACTGCTGGCTAATCTGTTAGGATGCATAATATAAACTTAATTTCTTATGTCAATACAATACTGTGTTTTCCTTTCCTCATAAATTGTCAGATTCACCCTGGCAGTTTAGTACTAATTTTTTCCACACATCTATTTATCTATACACACATAAACAGAGATCTCATTTAGCATTTGATTTATTTAAACACGGAACATGTTGAAATGTCTTTAAATGCATGTTGTGGTTATAGCTAGCTACTCATAGATTGCCTACTACTATTTCCTTGAGTTTTAAAATCTGAGTTCTGTAACAACACAAATCAAACAAAAGATTTTTTTTTTTTAATCAGTTCTGGGAAGCAGAATGTTAATTGCTTTGTAAGCAAAAAGATGAAGAGCAGCTTTCTTGGCAAGTGTATGGAAAGCTGGAAACAAAAGTCCGTTTTCTTAACACTAACCCCCTTATACATTGTACACACCTCTGCCCAGCTTTTATTGTCTTATGAGAACAGCATCTTCAAATAAATGAGAAGTTTACTTTGTATTCTCATGGGAGCAGGACTAAGCTTTGTCCTGTGGTCATACAGAATTCATAAGTCTAAGAAGGAAAGTCACAGCAGTAACATTAGCCAAGTTAGAAAAGCTGTTTTGATATTAACTAGGTACGACTAACCAAGGAGAGTGTACAACTATTCATGTAATTTATAATTATTTAAAACTGCAGTAATATCTGTAATATGCTGTTTCTGTCCTTTTGCCCACAGTTTTGATTGTTGTATGGGCAGTATCACAGCAGGAAGATTGCAAATATGCAGAGATAGAAATACATACTTATTCAAGCAAAAAAAAAAAAAAGTCTAAAGAAAAAAATAAGAAACTAAGAAAAGGACCATTCATAAAAATCACCTGACTGGATTCCAAGCTGAAGACAAATTCTGTTCATTTAAAACATTGCTCAGCTATACACTTGTCCCTTTTTTTCCTCTCATAGCAGGTCTGTGAATCATGAGCACTTGCATTATTAAAATAAACAATATTTTGAGCTAAAAACAATTGGCCAGTGATTCAGATAAGAATGTTTATTTGTAAAAAAGGAACTTAAGTAGCTGTAGGTAACTGTAAGTAAAATAACATTCCTTGTACAGGAAGTCTAGGAACAGCACAAATTAGGGAGATGCTGAATGGCTTTTTCAGGGATGCTGGGCAGATCTAGAGATTTGCACTCCAATTTAGTCATGCTCTTGTGGAGAAAGTAAACTAAAAGCTACCATATGGTTTGCAGGTGTAAAACAATAATTGGATTAACAAAGCACACTCTTAATTGAAAATATCTAATCAGGCGCCTGAAAATAAATCATTTAGAGGTTTTTAGTGCCCTTGTTTGTATGCTGACATGATGAACAAAGGCACCTGAAGTTTTGGACGTGAACAATCATGTCATACTTTTGAACCTACACTGGCTCTCTGTGTGCTCCTGGGAGAGATGGGGATTTACAACCAGAACCTCTAATCTTCTCAAACTTTTAAAACTCCCAGCCACCTGCAGCAAAGATTGTACAAGACAAAGTCATAATAAGCTTTGAAGTATGCTGACTTAAGGTCTAATATTATGTTACTGTTCCATTATTACAAGCCTCAGTCATAAATCAGAGCCCCAACATGCTGATTATTGTACAAGGGAAGAAGGAGCCTGCCCCGGTGTTTCAGACTAAGTAGTGATTACATGCTTTGTACTATAAGAAAAATGCACTAGCTAATCTTAATCCTATGGCAAAAGAAATACAGAAACAACTAAGTTAGATTCTTTAACACTTAGTAAGGTGCAAAGTCCTTCCCAGCCAACACATTTGTAACATCTCTGTAGATTCTCTGCATTCAAAACTTGTGCTTGTAGCAGAGCTTTTTCCATATTGAAGGCATTAATAACATTACTCTCTTCTGAATACTCTTTTTTTTTTGCAAAACCCGAGGAACCAGGGAGCTCTTAGAATTTTTCTGGACAGTATTTATATATATACATAAGACAGACATGAATACACAAATACATATGCATGCACGCACGGTATAATCATACAAGCCTTGTTTCCCTCTTCAAACACACATTCTAGTGACTTTAATTCAAAGGACACATAGGACCTATGTACAGTCAGCTGCAATATGAGTGACTGTACTGGAGCATCACTCCTTTGCCAGTCCACGCAGTCTTTTTTAAATCTGTAGGAATATTCTGCATTTGCTGTTCCATAGATTACAGCAACCTTAACCTATTGATCTCAGCCCAATTTATTTCTTTGTCAAGACATAAAGTAAGGTAATCAGTAAATTCCTCTTCAGAGGGGTGAGACAAAGACTTCCCAAATTTATGCAGCTGACAGCCATCCATTTTTTTTTTGCAAACAAGGCCATAAGCCACCTTGTGTTCTTATCAGCCTATGCATGGGCAACATGCAAGCCGACTCTCTTAAATATGAGCATTTATCTTATAGCTGCATGGAAGCAGTTACTGGAAACAGTATTTGGGGCCAGTTATTTTTGCAGTAACTACATCCAAACTGAGAGCTATTGGTCCCAAGGGACTACAGCACCAATCAATTTCTAGGATTAAATTTGGAAAGTTTGCTAAAGGAATTTGATAACTTATCTGTGGTTGATAAGTAGCAAAACTACAAGGCCCTTGACAGAAATTTGAGCACCCCCACCCACCAGTCAGCTAATCAGGGAAACCAGAAGCTTCCCTAAATAACCATTCTTCAGAATAAAGTACACCAGGCTTGAGAATAACACACTCTTACACACATCAAGTAGCTATTTTCTTGAAAAAACTGAAACAGCCTGATCAGTTAGTTAATAAAAGGATTGACTGATATTTTTACTTTGTTAGATACTATGTTGGAGAGTCAACTAATGTCCTCTTTGAAAAATGGTTTCACTGCGAAGATCTCGGCACTCAACTTAGGCCAATAATTCAAGAGTAAGTTTTTTTTCTGTGTAAATTTTAAAAGAACAGTTAAAATTATCTAACAGATCTTCATCAGTATGTGACTTACATAGTTAATTTTCTGTTTATGCTGCATTTTACATAGACTTGTTAAAAGTTAATTGCTGCTCTACAAATTTTTAATCATATCTTGTATACCCTAAACTCATTAAATCAGATTTTAAAAAATTTTAAAATCAAATGTTCCTCACATCTATCTGGAACAGTTTTTGAACCAGTAAAAGCACATTGCTGCTAATTGCTAAAAGAATGGAATGAAAAATTAACACTGAATTGATGCTAGGTTACTTAGGTAAAACACTAAATTGCTTAGGGCTTCTTTCACTCTTGCTTTAATTTAAGTACTTTTAATCAATATTGTTCAGGAATTATCAGGACTGGCAAATTTGTTAGAGAGCTGCTTTCTAGGAAATGTGTGAATGTCATCAATTAACTAATCAGTTTGTTAAATGGTTGCTGAACATGGATGAGGAAATTGTTTTGTGACATTAACTTTGGAGGACTTTCAGACAAACCCTCCGTCAATAAAATAGGTAAAGCCCTGTTGAGTACATGCATAGGAGCTGGGGATCTGGCACATCCATTGTCAGCACAAAGCTTAATAGCCAGTATTACTACCTAGTCTTTGTTAACTCATGGAACATGAACATGACTTTTCACTGGTGTTTAAATATTTATTATTCCAGGTTTTTCAATTCAAGACAATACCAAACTGGAAAACCAAATCCAGGTAATGCAAATCAATTTCAGAATTAGAATAATTATTGTATCTGATTGAACAGCAATAATTGTGTACATGTAAAATGACTCAGTTTGTTTTTCTTTCTGATTATGTAAATTAAAGTTACTTTGGGAAGTAATTCCTTTGATTACCCCAACCACAAATAAAATCCATATACATTATTACCTACAGCATCTTGGTTGTTCATGTGTTGCCATCGTAATGACCTGTGAGGTAACCATATAGTGTGAAATCTCAGTATCTCTATCCTTGCATGCCATTCAAGTCTTACGCTAACAAAATTTCATTTCTGACTGTGCAGAATGAGATTTTACTGAGCTGAATCTACACACTCTATACCTATGTTTACCCTTTTATCTATAACTACACACTGTGATTTCCTCTTGGGAAATAAGAACACCTAGAGAAAGACATACTTTTAGTTCATGTAGGGTCTGATCTATTTAACATTTTATTTCCGTGCTGTCTTGCCCTATTTTTTATGTTGCCTGTGTTTGTGGATAGCAGTTCCAACTTCCACACTGGAACAAATACTTCAGTTGTAACTCCACTCTTGAGTCTGTTAGACAGAGACATAGAAGATAGAGAGAGTGACTGCTAAATAAAACTAATTTATTAGTATCTTTAGGAATCAGATCTCTCAAACATGATGGTTGGTCTCTATATGGCAACTGAAGTCTCTACTACAAGGATACTTGCAACAGGACCTTCAGAGGGAAACATTTTGCTGAAATCTTACAGTTCTGTTGGCCCACAGCTCTACATGAATATGCAGCATGTGCATGATCCACTGCTACTGATGAACATAAACTATGTGCAATATAAAACCCACCTGTCTTAACTATGTACAAAAGACTACACTGTGACCATTTCTGTACCTGCAGGAACAGTTTCTATGGGCTATTTGCAAATGTTGTAGTTAGGTGCAGCCTGGTCAGTTCTGCTGCAGGAAATACCTGGAGGGTCTCCATGACATTGACAAGTTCTTAATTGACACATGGGAAAGTAAAAACTGGCGTAAGCACAGCAGGAGCTGCCTGTGGGATCTCCTGGACAGCCCAAGATTCCCACCTGGAGAGTTCCTGCACCAGTAAGCCAAATGCTTTTGTGTAGGCCACCAGTTCAGTCGATCTTATTTTGTTTCAAATTAGTTTATTGTCACACCTATGCAGCTGACTGACTGGAGGACATCCTGCACCAACAAGGAAACACGGCTCCCGTGCATTGCATGTGCGCACATGCACAGCCGTAATAGCCAGCTCTGCTACTCTTACACCTACATGACAAACTTGAACACCATCCTTCAGTCACACCCATAACTTAAATTCCATAGCTTTTGCCACAAGTTAAAGATAAATTTTATTTCCTCTCTCTAATAATTTTTTGGACCCAGTTGTCCTTAATCTCCATATTCATTCCTGAATGGCTTAAGTAAGATAATTTTTATGAATTACTCTAACAGAGACAAAAGTTCTCGTGAAATGTTTATACATCTATCCCACCATAAAAATGTCACTGCCTGCCATCTCAATCAATAAGGGAACAAAGTTCTTACTCAAATCCTAAAATCAGGGAAAGATGTTTTTTGCATAAACATCACCTTTCTTAAAAATATTTGGCTAAATAATTGTCACCAAAATGAAAAGTTCACAGAAGAGTCCTCTGTATGGGATAGCAACATTACAAGCCCTTGCAATCAGGAAACAGTAAGCCAGTCAGAAACCCTACCTGAAAGGGACACATTTGGGTATTGGTGGTTTGTTTTTTTGTTGTGGGGTTTGTTTTGTTTGGGGTGGGGGTGGGGGGGTGTTTGGGTTTTTTTTTTTTAAAGGGTAGGGTAGGTAGGGCAGGTACTGTCTCTCACTGTGTCTTCATACAGCATCTAGCAGAAGAAATATAGTTTCAGATGAAGCCTCTAGATGCTGCTGTAATAAAAAAAATATCATCTCACACATATTCTTCTTGTTCAATATAGGGATTTCCAATAAGCATCCCTCATCAGTCTGAGCTAAGAGCTTATATATCAGTAACAAATTAATTATATCAGTGCAGAAAAAAAAAGAACATTAAAGATTTATATTGTTAATATTTTTGCAGAAGATTAGAGGTAAAGTACAAACCTGACAATCAATCAGAAGCTATGATACATCTTGACACTTTTTTTAAAATACAAAACTCTGAGAAATTGTTATTGATAAATCCAGTACAGAAGCTCTTTCCTTGTAATTTATTCAAAAGCTGTAAAAAGGCCAAAAGACATGAGAGACTTCCATTAAATCCGAAAACAGTTTTTTTCAAGACAAAAAAAAGAAAAGGCAAATAAATGTAGTTATTTTGCTCAGAGCTCAATACATCTTTTTACCCTGAATAGATTCTGCTCTTGGATTAGCTACTAAGTCAAGACAACAAATATTTGAAATGCTCTTGGCTTAACTCTTGCTGTAAGCAAAAAGCAGTCAACAAAGGTGCATGGCAGGCTTTTGGCCTGGAGAACAGCTCCATTTTTCCAGTTTTCAGTTCTCATGGACAATAACAAGCTCAAAGTCTCAGTGATACATGAGGAAAATACCCCAGATTTTTCGTTACAGAAGTTTTAGCTAGCAGCTCCTGTAACTGTCAGTGAGACTTGCGTTTTAAAACAAAACAAAACAAAACAAACCCCAAACAAATCAAGCAAAATTTGTCTGAGATATGAGTAAGCTGCTAATATGTCCCTTCTGGAGGCATACCCAACCGATAGAGAAATAAAGCCTTAGATTTATTCCCTCAGTATCTCTTTTGTCCTTAAGAAGCAGAGTTCAACAACTAGCATGACACTTGTGACGTATCACAAGATACCACTCGTTTCTCATGATGTTTCACTCAAGACACATTTTAACAAGATTTGAGGTGGCCTATGCAGAGGGCTGGGTTTCTGCCTTGTCTTTCAATTTCTTTTCTGAAAATCCAGAATCCCCTCAGTTTAAAAGTGTCTGCTGAAGCACTCTCAGGTTCATCTCTATATAAGCCTGAACTAGTGCCTCCCCTTTTTAGAGACAAATGGAATAACATTGAAGAAAAACATTTTGAAAGAAACCCTTGATTGCAGCTGACTCATAGAGGAAAGCTATAAATGGGATCAATCAAGCCACAATTGCTTTAAAGAAAAACTACACCAAAAAAACCCCCTCAAGTCCAGACTTTTTCTTTCTTTCTTTATGCCTTCTGGCTCAACCAACACTACGGCAAGTCCCTCTGAAAGGAAGGTACTCGAAATACATGAAGAGCCAGAAGTAGTTACTAAAAAGATACACTTTTAGAAGAGGGGCTCAAATACCATCGGGTGAAATGCTATCAGAAACATGTATTGCATGCAGTCCTTACTTGAGGCATCTTCCCTGGAACTGTTTTGTACCAAATTCCTAGCCTCTTTTGTTACCACATGTGAGAATAAAGCCTGGGAAAACTCCCCCTCCTTTTGTCAATAATGGTGAATATATTTAGGGTATAGTCTAAACATGGAACACTCAAGATAGGTTGGTTTGGTTTACTTTACACAATTTTTGACATGCGGAATCACAGGTATCAAAACCACTCTTGCTACTTGCATTTGAATCACACAGGGAGCAAGGCCCTCTCAAGGCTTCTATTTCATCACAATTTTATAGTCAAGAGGACATGAGACAGTTCAGACAGACAAAAACTCCAGTTCTAATAAACAGTGATGGCTGAATATTGTTTGCAAAAGTATCCAGAAGCTCAAAAGTTTATCCTGCCATGCTCACTGAAATAATCCAGGCTTCTTTTATGGGATATTTGATAGGAAAAACCTGAGAGAAAAGACTTTTCCTAAGTTAGACTTCTTTTAAAATGATCTTTAAGAACATGAATAGTGTAGGGTAGAGTGTCAGGCTTTTGTTTATCCAATTTAATTAATCTGCCTCTAATCATCAATGAAATTTTAATTCCCATAAAAGCTTTATTGTCAGTGGACATACAGACACATAATATAAATACCAGTCCTGTAGTGACTTCACTAGCAAGACTTCCATTGATTCTAGGGGTATCTAGTGTAATCTACAGTCTGAATTTAAGAGCTGGTTAGTACTGTTAGAATACAGCACTGTTCTATGCTTGTGATTCAGAGCAGACAAAACCTAAGAATCTGAATGGGTATGAAAAATTGCATGCTTTCTTCAGTCAGTTGGAGTAGGAATGCCATACAGTTTAGGGCATGGTCTATAAACAAATGTTTTCTGGTTTCAGCAGTGCTATTAAACAAGTTATAAGGGTGAGCTCAGTGCTATAAAAATCAGCTTCTGTACTGATATCCTCTGTAGCTAATCCAGTGCAACCTCTGTAGACAGTATTTGCTGTTCGGTCTTGTTTCATAGAATCATAGAATGACCCGGGT